GTGCATTTCAAATGCTCTGGCGATGAGGTTTCTGGACCTGATCCTCAGGCATTTATGAGTTTGCGAACAGTTGTAGTGAGGTCAGCTAGGTTGTAGACGGACGTGTCGATTTCTTGGTTCAGGTTTGAAGTGGCAGTAGATTCATTTAGATTGTGGCATGGCGGACAACGGCGGCTGAAATGCTCTCGCTCCAATCGAAGCCGTTGTTGAAGGCTGCTGCATATGGGCAGGTAGATCTTCCTGAATGGAGTCTCACCGCTCGATATACTAGTCTCAGGTTGTTATGTTTCATGCCTTCCTCCTTAGTCTGTTTGCAAATAAAAAAGTTAAAATCGCAAATTTTCATGAAATTTAATTTAATATGCGAACGTCGCCAAGAATGCGTTTCTTCTCCGCTAGAATTTTTATACATGAAACTGACTTTTTCTGCATGGAAGAAAATGAACTTATTAGGCTAGAAGATGCTGAGAAGAGAAACCTGTTATTTTCGACGACCTTGACTTACTGATCTCCAGAATGCATTCGAAAGTTTCACAACCGAACTTTGTTACTGGTTGTCCCCTGTCGATCCCCTGGCCGAAATGATCTTCACCTCAAGTTGGATGTCACTAAAAAATGGTGGGCTTCAGCACTGAGGAACAGATCGATTGCTGAATCAGAATAAAACTTCTGTGAAATATGCGGAGTCATCTTGACCAAAGCGGAAACAATTTCAAAGTAGATCATTATCTGTGTTAAAGCACGATTTCATCCCCATGCTCATCAATCCTAAATTTACCAAACAACTCTGTAATGAATGCAGGCGAATGAAACTGGTAAATTCCAACGTAACGCCAATCGACACTGTTCTTAACATAAGCTTCAGGAAACCATTATAATTAATCCACTAGTTCTCCGGATTGAGAGATCACAAATGCGATGGCTCAACTGAGTCATGGGAATGGCAGCAGTGAGGAAGACACAGCACCCTTTCCTTGTTTGATTTGAAGGCAGAAAATCCAAAGAAAAGTTAAGAATGACTTGGAGCAAGTTCGCTTGTGAACGTTGCCCCATGGCCGGATATCTCCTACCAACTTTCAGGCACTGACGAAGAGTCGAAGTCAGTGACGTTGTTACCTTCTCGACTCATGGAAGCAATAAACATTAGGAAGTGATTTATCGAATGCGATGGCAGTAACGGTGATTTTTACGGTTTTGATAACAGAACCGTTATCATAAATAAATTTTACAATGATATTAACCTGCTTCAAGTGTTAAATAAAGCAAAATTTAATAGTTGTTTTCATTAAACAATCAGTAGTACAGACTAGATATCGTACGCATGTTTATTTATCGACATTTAAAGTATCGTAGTCATTGAAAGTACGATACAAAAAGTGTAGGGGACTTTCGGAATTTGGCAATAAATGTGAAATGGAAAGAAAGCAGTTTAACAAAATAATTTCTTGACCTATGCAGATAATTCCTTAGATCACATACTGCCCCTAGGAGGAACGTTTTTATTGCTTATATAGTCATTAACGTAATGAATATCGTAAGCTTTGACGAATGCCGATCCACATAGCAATGACACTTTGCGAAGACTTTTCCTTCGTTTATAGGCAGACGATTTTGTACTTGCTTGCCTTTGCGGCCGTCGCAAATATAATCGATGTGCTGTCCCCGCTGAGGAAATTCTATTTTGAGTGTCAGCCAGTGAAACGCAAGAAAATAATTGCATTAGTAGAGAAGATCATTAAAACGGTGGGTGAATGATGCGAAGTCAGTGAGCTGAGCAAGAGTCAAATGCCACCCTGAAACATCGCACGACGTGTATGTTCCTCCGTGATAGTTTGAGTGAAAACGATTCAGTCAAAGGGCATTCGACCAGTAGGAAAGAGGCTATATTGCGGCGATGGCTGCAGACCGGTGACGACATGATCTGGCAACAGCAGCATTTCCAAAAGATCAGAAGTCGTTGAACTTGTAGATAGTTCCCTATGTTGAGTGCTTGAAGATCAGACGTGTCTTAGCCAGAACTGGGGTCAGAACCTGATTGGTCTGAATACATCAGGAATATGGTACTCAGGACACCCGATGATTCAATTCGATGTTGTTAACCTGTTTTTCAATGGCCATTAAAAAAGGGGATATGCATAACTGAGGCTGAAGACAAACAGGAAGCTGATACACATAGAAACTGCATGGTTATTTGTTCAACGGTAAACTAGCCTCCGTCAAGTTAATGCTGCAAAAACGATGTGACTATTCAATTTCAGAGTCCACATAATTCACCTCGATGTTCGATAGCACTTTAACCACTCCATAGTTTCTTGCTGTATATTTTTGCCGGTATGTTTACGTTTGAATACCGGCATGTAATCATCCATGTAGTTTTCTAAGTATCTCTCAGAACGCTGAGACTCCTCTGACTATTAGTTACAAGCCATTAAGCTTCGACATGTTGCTCAAAAACAGTTGTGCCTCTCTCACCAAGTCGAGGCTGTCAGCTTACGATATGGCTCTCAGTTCAAATGGCCTGCAATAAATTTTGAGCACTAAAAACACCTGCCTTGTGTCCTGTGCCTAATTTAAGATTTTGAGTAATTCGCTGTCTATGGTACGTTATTTCATGACATTTTTTGATCATTTGTACTCTAAATCTTGTATGGCTTGATTCTTGATAATTTGTGCGGTATGAAACCATGTTTCAGCTGGCCATTTAAATTTCATTATTTATGAAATGGGTTTCTGCATAGCGTAGTACAATAGTTTCAGTTCCATTTACTGTATACTTGTTTTATAGAGTAATCCCTCCTCTGTCGAAGCGTATCCCCCAATTTGGTAAGAAGGAGTCCGGATTTGTTTTTCATTACCGTGCGTTTGCCCCTCGTTTCATGTTGGATAAGGTGAATGGTCCGCCAGA